CCCCCCCCCCCCCCCCCCCCTTGGTTTGAGAATTTGAGTTTCATCACATCTGAAATTTTGCTGGAAATAGGCAAATATTTGGCAACATTAAAAAAAACAAGATGTCTGTTAAGATAAAATAGCAGAAGTTGCCCCCCCCACCCCAAAAAAAAGAACATTATTGGTTCAACTCAAAGTTTGAATGTGTACAATGAAGATTTACTTGATTGTCTTTGTTTTCCTTGAGAAACAAATGTTTTAAAATCCACAAATGATATAGATTAACCCTTTACTTTATTCCCATGATATCGGAGCAACATAAAACAAAATATGCTTGTCGATATTGAATAATGTTCAAAGAGAAAACAAGTTAACTTCCAACAAGTAAAATATTTAGGAATTTGTTACTGAAGAAGGTTAGGTCAGAGATGACTGAATTTACTGAAACAGACCCTTGTTTCTTCTCGAGACTTAGATAACTAAGAATCAAAACAGATGATATGAACTAAAAAAACAGCAGGAATTAATTAATTAGATTTAACTTATCATATAGGCTACCAACAATTACAAAGATCAAAACAATGTTATTTCTATTTTATTAACAAATACATAATCTAGCTACTTACCCTTATATAGGCAATAACAAATGTTAGCATATATCCTCGCAACCCATTCTCCTCACCTGCTGATATACCACTGTCAGAATTGTGGATAAAACAAAGAATTATTAGTAAGATAACAATAACTTAGGAATACATAAACAAGATAACAATAACTTAGGAATACATAAACAAGATAACAATAACTTAGGAATACATAAACAAGATAACAATAACTTAGGAATACATAAACAAGATAACAATAACTTAGGAATACATAAACAAGATAACAATAACTTAGGAATACATAAACAAGATAACAATAACTTAGGAATATATAAACAAGATAACAATAACTTAGGAATATATAAACAAGATAACAATAACTTAGGAATATATAAACAAGATAACAATATCTTAGGAATACATAAACAAGATAACAATAACTTAGGAATACATAAACAAGATAACAAT